ATTTTTCCCACTGCGGACCTTAGCTGTACTGCGTATGCACTAATAAGGTCATTACAGAGTTAGGCTAACGTGCCTTTACTTACATCAACTGTTTGCCACGCGACATTTTTAGAATTAGAGGTAAAACATCTACTACAATGATTGAAATATTTCAACGATATACGGATATTTTTTAAAGATAAATTTAATTTGTTTTCTTTAATACAATTTACATAAAAAGTTCTGAAAATAAAGTCCTCATGCCCCCAAAATACAACATAGATATCGTCAATCAGAAACTCAAGCATCTTTTTATGTCAACGTCAGAGTACTTATGTGTACAATCAGACTGTTTTTAAACAAAATAATTCTGTAAATATCTAATAATAAGGTGTATAAATCTACGAATTAATCCTTTTTCTATACAATAAACTGTTGTCAATGATATCAACAAGAATGGACTTTAGTTTATAGATAGGAATGACTGTGTATAAAGTTGAAAAATCATAAATTTTTAAGCTGTTTATTTTGTTGAAATTTTGTTATTTCCAATTGTCCAAAAGAAACTTACTTGGAATTTTTAAGCATTCACACGACTTTCTGTAAGGATCCATAGAAAAATATTCTTTTGGCGAATTTAAAAAAAAATCTTTTTACCTAAGATATATTTATGATATGACAGAAAAGGAACTACGGGATTTCCATATGACTGCAAATAACATACATTCCAACATGCAGCTTGACCTGCCCTTTTTAAAAATAAAATCTAAATTTCACGATATTTCTATACACAGTTTCTTGATGTTACTATTTTTGTGGAAAACAGAATTTTTTACAACAGATCTTTACAGTTAGCCAACTGACAAACATATGTACCTTAACAAAACCTCTTACCATCCACATTATATAAAAAGTTCAATTCCGTACGGTCCTGTTCGTAGAGCACTCGTTTTTGATCCACAGAGGAAAATTATCAAACCCAACATGATAAAGTGAAAACAGACTTGCGAAAACGAGGATATTCCAGTAATGAAGTAGAAAAACGAAAGCCGACAAACTCAATGGCGGGGATCTGTTGGTTAAAGAAAAAAGTAAAACGCAATGTGATCGTATTCCCCTCTTTTTGACCGATTCAAAAGAAAGTCTCAATATTCATAACATTTAAAAGAAACGACAAAAATTCTTGAAAATTCTAATCGCGTTCGAAAAGATTCCAATTGCTGCTTATAGAAGAGACAAAAATTTGAAAGGCATTTTAATGTCCAAAAAAAACAAACATTATTTATTTTTTGAGAAAGGAATGTGATTCATGTGGGGCTACAAAATGTATTTTTTTTTGGTAAATTTGTTGTGAAAACCAGCCAATTTGAAGATAATAACGGAAACACCGTTCAATTAAAAATTATATTAATTGTAAATCTAGGAATGTTGTTTATGGAATTCTTCGTAAAAGAAGGATATGGAGATAATCTTCCATTGTATGTACACCTCAATTAAAATGAGTAGTGACAGGGTAATTGGTTCCCTTTTTATGAAAGAAAATGAAATAAATTATCACGAGTTTTTCCGACATACACTATTTTGTCGCACCTTTTGCCCTTATTTCCTGATCATGACAAGGAGCACAAGGCGGGAGTGACCGGTCGGCAGGGGACGCTCACTCCTCCATGGCACCTGATCCCACCTCTGATGTTTTGGGGGTCTGTGTTTGTTCTGCTTATATTTTGTATTGTTTTATGGACTTTGAGACTAAATACTGTTCGTTATCTTCATAAAAAACTAAAATAGACTGAATGCTGAAGAAAGAATAAGCTTAGCATGACGGATTTTTATGAACCATGGAAGGGGAAATTGTAAGAAAATTGTAGGGTAACTAACATTTTCTATTATCATGCACAAAGGAAAAGTGTTTGTAACCTGGCAGATATATGGTATTCTCTCGAAGGACTGCATGAGAAGCAATTAAAATAATAAACACATTCTATGAAAAACACAATCAATAAATTCTGAGAATTTAGACCAATTCATCCAGTTGTATTTTTTCAGGATCTTTATTTTTCGACAGATGGTTAACAATGGAAACTTAAAACCACTGATTGACAAAACGTGCAATCCATTTCTGAACATTTAATGCTACTTACAGAAATTCTGATTAAAGATGTTTTAAACATTCTGATACTGTACTTACCATTCATTTTTTAAACCCCAGTCACTTTCCAAAAACGACCAACGGCCGACGAGTTTTGAAGCAAAAATGGGGTTCTTCGGGTGATAGTCGGCAGTATACCGGTCGTTGTCTTGTCCGTATTTGACCTTTTTTTGGTCGGCAGACCATGTTTGTGTCCATCGGTCCAAGTTATGATTATTCTGTGTCGGTGGCCGATTTCATAAATTGAAGTTATCCGTCGACCTACCTTCGATCATCGTACGACCATCGGCGGTCAGTTTATAGAGTCGGTCGTTTGACAACAAGGGTGTCCCAAATTTCGGCCGCCGGTTAAAATCAAACTGTACCTCAATGCTCGATGATCGGGCGACAAATGGTCTACTTGTGAATATTTGACCTATTAAGGAAATATAACACAAACAAAATCTTGATGCATGGATTGATAAAAATTTTTGGAACAGAAATAACATTAATAATTAATCTGTAAGATATACTAGAGGTACTGTGAGCAATGAGCTCACTAAATGATACCCCCCGCCTCCATATAGTTATTATGGCAAAGTCCATGTTTTGCAGTAGTCGGAAAAGCCAAAATATGTGTCGGATCAAAAAGTAAAATAGGAGGTGCACAACGGCAGTATGTAATAAAGATTCTGTGAAAGTTTCATCAAATTTCATTCAATGGTATGTGAGGAGTTGCGGATAAGAGATGGGTACCCCAAAGCTGACAGACGGACGGACGGACGGACGGACAGACAGACAGAACGGAATTAACGATTACTATATATCCTCCCGCTTTTCAAGCGGGGGGGTTAAAGAGAAATCTTAAGCATTCTTTGCTGCCTAGATATGCGCAATTTGTCGTTTTTTATGCAATTTAAAAAACAAAAATTTGCACACTTTTTCAACATTGAGTCACAATCTTACCAAATTCTGCCACTTTGCCTGGCAAACATTACTCTCGCCACATATCTGAATTTAGATCTCTGAAAAATAATACTGATTTCTGAAGAAAAAAGTTTTTTTGTGTTATTCATCGAAGTCATCGGTGTACCTGGGAATTAATGTGACTGCTCTGTGTTGCACGAACTTGTGTCGGGCGAACATGTTCTTACAGGCGACAAAAAAGAAAAATTTAGTCGCCCGAGCATCGGCTTAAATGTGGCCTAGGTATTTGAGCTATGAGATATATACGTAGGTATCGGAAGCACGCTGCTTATCAACTGTTCTGAAACTGAAGAAAGACATGATGAGATATTTCTGCATTTACCTGATTGTGAGTTATAATTTTAACTATTTTTTTTTCTTTCAATTCTTGTCTATTTCCATACGTGCATCCGATGAATAAATAGCAGTTTTAGAGTCACATCTAAAACAAAAAAAGTTAAAATATTTCTTTAAAACATAGCTTATTGACGACTTTAAAGTATAGAGCTAGTAGTTTAAAAATGTTCAACTAATATTCTGAAGAATTGCTACTCTCGTGCTTCACGATAAACATTTTGCATATAAATTAGTCCTGCACATTTATGAAGCCATAACAGTGCTGCTTAAAAAAATAATGCCTTTAAGACGAAGTGTTGACGTCATCCTTTTATCATCAATATTTTTGTCAATAGTTTGCTTCAGTTTAAAATTGTTATACCCCAGCTTGAAAAGCGGGAGGGTATATAGTAATCGTTAATTCCGTCCGTCCATCCGTCCTTCCGTCCGCTTGTTACGCTTTTGGGTACCCATCTCTTATCCGCAACTGATCTCATACCACTGAATGAAATTTGATGAAACTCTCACAGAGTCTTTATTACATATTGCCATTGTGCACCTCCTATTTTACTTTTTGATCCAACGCATATTTTGGGTTTCCCGGCCACAGCGAAATATGGGCTTTGCAATTATAACTATATGGAGACGGGGGGTATCCTTTAGTGAACTCAGCGTTCACAGTACCTCAAGTTTAGATTTAGTTAGTTTGCTTCAGTTTAAAATTGTTTAGATTAGAGGTATACTCTTATGTACCGGTTGATTTTTTAAAAAATAAATCTTGATAAATGAATGTCTTTTACTTCTTAAAATTATTTTAAAATCATCATTATGAAATTTAATTATCATTGTTTTCAAATTTGCAGTTATTATAACTTTATCTAATATATATATATATTTTCTTTTCTCGTCTCTAACTGCTCAAGATTAGATCCGCACATTCATGAAGCCATTACAGTGCTGCTTTAAGAAATGATGCCTTTAAGTCCAACTGATGACGCCATCGTTTTATCATCAATATCTTTGTCAATAGTTTGCTTCAGTATAAAATTGTTTAGATGAGAGGTATACCCTTCTGAACCGATTGATTTTTAGAAAATAAATTTCGATAAATTAGTGTCTACTGCGTCTTTATATTTTTTTTTAATCATCATTATGAAATTTAATTTTTATTGTCATAAAATGTGCAGTTATTATCATTTTATCGTATATTATATATTTTTTATTAGTCCCCAATTGTGCTCTATTATAAGATTAACATATCTTTTTCTTTGTACACGTGCTATTGATTTCACCAACTTTTCAAATTTTATAATTATTTATAATGCATAACCGAAATACACAGCCAATTGTGCCTAACGTTAATTTAACATGAAAATAATGTTAATTTAACGTTAAATATTTAACGTTAAATTAACGTTAATCGAGCTTATACATGAATTTAACGTTAAAAAATTAACGTTAAATTAACGTTATTTTCATGTTAAATTAACGTTAAACGTTAAATTAACGTTAATTAGTTCACAATAATTTAACGTTAAAATGCATAAAAATTGTGTGCATATTTTTGGAATTATCCTTCCTATTCTTCCAGAAAAATACATGTTCCTGCATCATGGCAGAAGCTTAACTGATACTACATGTAATCATAATTAATTCTCTAAAGGAAAACCAGAAGCTCATCAATTTTGCACTTTTCCTTGTAGCACTGCAGAAAGCTAGGCTTGCATGTTGACTTCATCCCTGGTGTCACTTTCTTTTCAATTTGAATATATCCAAAAGGATAAAGGGACCCATCAGCTCTTTCAACAAAATCTCTAAAATTCTGAGCATTGCCTCCGATTTCAAATTTTCTGAAGAAAATAGAAAAACACCAATTCATCCATTAATACTTTTAATCGGGCACATTCAATACAATGCTACAAATCTTCTCTCTTTTTCCAATCTGAAAAAGAAGAGAGGCAAACACATATATTAAAATAATTATATGAAAATAAAATACTTCAAAAATACATTAACAACTCAAATTTGATGAAACAAGAGGTCCATTGACCACATCTCTCACCTGAGCACATGGGCTAGCTAAAAACACAGATCAGTTAAGTATTGAGAAGCTTACTTTATATTTGTTTGGGGAGGAGGATTTGAATTTTCCATTACTTGAAAATGTCACTATTACAATTAATACAGCATACATATATTATTTTGCCATACTTGAAAAGAAGAATTTTAAAGATTTTTCCACCACATCACCTGATCTACCATTGTGACCCCTCGCTAACCCCTAATCCCCAGGGCATTATTTGAATAAATTTTTAATTTTTACTACTTGCAGATCATGTCAATTTGACAAAACAATTTTTTCTGTTCTGGAGAAGATTGTTTTTCCTATGTATTCTCATGCAAGTCTGTGATAACTCATTGTGGCCACACCCTAACCCCGGGGGTCATGATTTGAACAATTTAGAATCTACATTATACCAGGATGCTTCCACATAAGTTTCAGCTTTTCTGGCCCAGTGGTTCTTGAGAAGAAGATTTTTTAATGACCAAACCCTATTTTTGCCTTTTCTTAATTATCTCCCCTTGCGAGGGGATATGTCCCTTAATTTTAACAATTTAAATTCCCCTTCACCCAAGGATGCTTTGTACCAAGTTTGGTCAAAATTGGCCCAGTGGTTCTTGAGAAGAAGTTGAAAATGTTAAAAGTTTACAGACGGACAGCTAGACAGACGGACAGACAGACGGACAAAATGTGATCAGAAAAGCTCACTTGAGCCTTCGGCTCAGGTGAGCTAAAAATTTAGGGGTGACATATTAAATGGGTTTAGATATTTGATATGTGTTTAGAATAAATGCAATTTACCTGGTATTTTGAAGATTGCTTACGGTTATGAAATATATTCACTTTCTTGTGATTATCATGTTCATGTCAGCAAGACTTTTTACTGAGTAAACCTACAAAAAAAAAAAATAATTAAAAATCATTTATTTGAAATGTAATATCTTCAACATATATGATGTTCATAGATAGAAACCAAATTTTATGTGCAGCATCCAATTCAAAGCAAACTTTTAGTACAGTGAAAGCAACTTGGCTTTAAATTTGTCTCTTTAGCATTAACTATATATATCAATTTATAAAATTTTTCTGAATGAAAATTATGAATACACTATGTATATACTATTTTATAAATAACCTTTATTCCTGCATGGTTATCCTGAAAAACATCAATTCAAGGAGGCACCAAGGAATGGTATATAGAGGCTGTAGTCTGCTCTTTTCTCCATGTCTTGCATACAAGTATCTTTTCTGTATTATGCAGTAAAAGAAAAAATCTTGATTCAATAATGCTTATAGAATGTTTCTGAACAAAATATTGACAAGTGTCAAGTAGTGACAAGTACTTAACTGGTATTTTAAAAATTCAGTTGGGGTGTGTGAAAGTAAATTTCACTGTCATTACATTTACTGTGGGAATTATTTACATTTTGTTCCACTTTCAATACCTGTTTTGAGTTCCACTGGCATTATAATTTAGGCAGCTGGGTTCTTCCGAGTCTCGACGACAAAATCCTATTTGATCCATTTCAGAAGTGCGAGTCAGATGTGATACCGAGTTCCAGCTGTTTAAAATACAATAAAAATAGATATCAAATCGCCTTTAATCGGTTTTTTTCTCTATAATGATGAAACAAATTAAGAGAACTGTTAGAATCAGGGAAAACATCGCTCACATTGCGTGTTTGACTTCAACTTTGAGATGGTTATTATTATCTTGTACTGTACATGTACACAATTTCTACTTTCACTTTCGAATTTTCTCCGTATCGTACGTAGGGCGGCAGTACTGATGTACCAAAAGGCTTCAGTGTTCAAACAAATAACCAACTGAACAATAAATAGACCTAATAAAAATAGTAATTCTGATATACAAATATCCAACGTAGAAGAGATCTGGCACGTCGTTCAGTGACGTTCACAGCCTACGACACAATGTAAGATTACACTGATACTACAACGTATCGATAGCCTGCAAGGACTGTTGTGTTGAGTAATTACGCGTAATGACTAACGTTGCTGTACATAAAGTTCAAACATTTAGGGACCTCTGAAATTATGAAACCTCAAAAACGTATTATTACAAAGACTACAAAATACTTACTATATTAACATAGACTTGATAAATCCTTTTTCCTCTGTGTTTTCAATTTCTGTTAACAGCTGATGACGTCAAACATGACGTACAAGTTTTGTCCGATAAAAACAAAACCGATCCTGAGAAAAGCTACGGACCATATTTAGCCGGAAAAAATCCAAATCCAAGTTGACATTTTGAAAGATAGACATAGAGCATATGATTTTTAAGTCTATATAAATTACTTTTTTAAGAATATGTATGAAAAAAATGGATGAGGTGAAGAGGGTGCGAACAGTTAGAGCACCCCCCTTTCCCAAACACTCACCTAGCTGTAACACAACCTTACACAAACACACACGCACTTGTGTCGAAAATACTTTTTGAACCTAGATCTACATGTATATGGTATAATATTAACTCAACTGTTATTTCCGACACAAGTGCCAACACCCCCCCCCCAACCATTTCCGACACAAGTGCCAACACCCCCCCCCCCCCCAACCAACCACCAACCCCGGCGGATTATAGTATCCACATATGGATATCTTATTAATTAATTAATTGTCACTAAAATGATTGGCAAGTATTGTTTATGTCTAAAATTTGAATAATAACATTTATTTAATATAGTGTTATTCTAATTAACATGAAATTAAACATTAAAGAATTAACGTTAAATTAACGTTAAATTCACATTAACATGAAATTAACATTAACTAATTAACGTTAATCTAATGTTAATATTTTGGTTTTAGTTTTTTGAGACAGAACCCAATCTCACTTAAAATTTAATGTTAATTTTATGTTAAAAATTAACATGAAATTAATGTTAAGTTAAATTAACGTTAAAAATTAACATGAATTTAATGTTAAGTTAAATTAACGTTAAAAATTAACGTTAAATTAATGTTAATATTTTTAACGTTAACTTAACACGAAAGTAACATCAAACTAACATCAAGTTAACATTAATTTAATGTTAATTGAGATTAACACTAAATTAACGTTAGGCACAATTGGCTGTGTATCTGGCTAATTGAAATGTTTTTCATTATGAAATTGTCAAATATTTTTCTACGAAATAAATATCAGATCTAGGGAGCTCCTGGCACTCCAGGTTAAGTATGTACGTTATTCATTCCATGTTTACCCTTTTTCCCGTTGATATGGCTCTTTGGATTTTTTTTTTCATATTCCACAATTAAAATACTTATGACGTCTTAATGGTATTTGTGTTAGCTTGATGAAGCAAAATAAAGTAGAGTGCTATATATAAAAACAGTATATAAAATCGGTTGTGGAGCATTAAACATTGGATAAAAAGAATCTCCCATAATTTGTAGTTGGATATTACCTTTATCCAACTCGTTGTGTATTTTTATAAAATTCACACAACTCGCTGGGTAAAAATCATATCCAACTGCAAAACATGGGAGATCATATTTTTATTATATCCCCGCTTGAAAAATGGGAGGGTATATGGTAATCGGTATTTTCGTCCGTCTGTCTGTACGTCTGTCCGTCCGTCCGGCCGTATGTTACGCTTTTGGGTACCAATCTCTTATCCGCAACTCCTCTCATACCACTGAAGGAAATTTAAGGAAACTTTCACAGATTCTTACGTCTATATTGCCATTGTGCACCCCCTATTTTACTTTTTGATCTGACATATTTTTTTTTATTTTCCAGAGAAAAACATGGACACTGCGTTTACATTCATATGGGAAGCGGGGATATCATTTAGTGAGATCATTGCTCAAAGTACCTCTAGTTATATTAGTATATTATGGGCTTTTAAACACGTGAAGTTATAAAAGCTATACTGAGGGTTGTTTGTGTGCTGTTGCTTTTTTCCGATATTTAATTATTTACAGAAGGTAATCTTTTTATAATTCCGGTCCATAGCACAAAAATGTTGCTCCATGCCTTTTATATCAAGGAATTAGAGTTTGAGAAAAAAATCAATTTAATTCCAAATATGTATATCTTAGACCTTTCCAAAGCATTACTTCTTATTTTATAACCAATCTTATAAGAAACAGCACGTGTAACTGACACCAGATTGGTAGAATTTGGAAGAGACCCGGCATATGCATTTGCAAATATCTGACTTCCAATTTATCAAACAGAGAACTCAGTATGAAAGACTAGTGAGTCTGTATTTATTTTCTCGCAAACATTCAAAAGCTCATTTGTTCTCTTTCAAGCATATGAATCGTGTGAAGGATTTGTAATGGAAATCAGTCACAGTTATAATTATTGATGTCTCACTGGTAAGACGAATATTGTTGTATAAAACTAGGTTGGTGCATTCTGGCTTCTTTCGATCGGAAGGCATAGATTTAGTTCCTATATTGTACGATATAACATAACTTGGGGCAATTTCACGGCCAGAAACACGTTAAGTTCCAAGACAGTACGTTGTCAGAAACCTTTAAAGTTAAGCACTGAAAATGGCTCGTTGTCATGAATTTACAGGTAAGGTTATAACAAAAACTGTCCGGTGTCATTACTTGAGAAGACAGGTCGTGAGCAGTTTTTCATTTTTTAAGTTAAATAATTTCAACCAATGCCTGAAATTGCAATGGGGAACAGGACTGACACCCCTTTTAGTGTTGTATGAATTTCAGCCGTTAAAATGAAGTAATAAAAGAGGAGTTTGCGTTGGCGATATTAAACCCTGGTGAAATCAAACGTAAATTTTATTCATTTTCCTTCTGAGATGTTATATTTTTTGTAAACAGAACATTATATATATACCAATTGATGCAGTCAGTATCAAGACATGTTATAAGTATTTACGGGAAAAAATAAAACAAATTAAAACTGAAATATTTGATTTATTATAATTTATGTCCGTTGTCATGACAAGATACGAAAATTCAGTCCGTTGTCATCGGTCCGTTGTCGCTACTTTACTGTACGTATACACTATGAAGGAGGTCGATTTTATTTTTTTTAATGCTTTGATAAATTTCAAGCATGTCTTCAATAAGTGGGTGAACTAATAAGTCTTAAGAAACTAAACGTATGCTATTTCCTCTATTTCATAATATATGTTTAACGGTGTGACCGTTGGGGCGAGCGCAGTTGTACCATCAAAAACACTTGAAAAATATTGATCAGCCACTTCAAACGTCAAGCCGCACGAGACATCTCGACTAGCTGTGACGTCACACGACGTCATGGAGCTCGTCGAGCTTACGGAGACAGCCGATCGTCTGATTGAAACTTTAGACCTAATGCAATTTTGGTCGAAAAAAATTGCAGAGTTATTTTTGTTTCTTTGAAAGATTTCTGCAAACTGAAAGCCTTTTATGCTTTACGTTATTATTTATTTATTTATTCGCGCAAAGGACATTGGGTAGTGCAGGAATTCTGGGAATGTTTCACAGAGAATTTGGCTGACGTATGTACAGATTTCAATCCGAATTTCCTCTGTTCATACACGTTAGTCTATTGAGCTCGCTGCGCTCGCTATAATGTTCAGCTTTTGTTTGTCATACAAATGGGCTTCAGCCTTTTTTCATTAAAAAACTAATTTCAAAGTGAAGGAAGAAATATGCACACTAAATCTCGATTTCTGCCTACATTTTGCACTCATTTTGTTTAATATTAATGGCAATTTGACCATAAAATCGTTTTAATACAAAGAACAGTTAAGTGGTAATTGATGAATTGTTTTGATACCAGCGCTAAATAGTGAATTATCCCTATTTCAAGCTCTTAAAAAGGGGGCGGGGGTAGACGATATTCTCCATTGATAGATCACCATATTTTGAAATAGACTTTCATATGATAAAATGTTCCTAGTGTATTTTCTTAAGATTTCGGCAAAAAATTATAAAAATAAATGCATTAATAAAATGTAATGATTCAGTTGTAAATCGCTTCGAAATTGATGAAAAAATAAGCATTTAAATATCAGCCTGACAGTGATGTGAAAAATAACCAAATACAGATATGCAGTTTTGTCGATTATTTCATTCACTTGAATGGCATCAAGTAAAATTATAACAAACCATTAAGGGGGATCATCTGATATTAAAAAAAACAAGATAAAACATGAACATAGTTGCATGAAAGGTACAAGTGTGATCCCCCTGAAACTGACTAGAAATTTACATGCAGTGAAAATATCAGATTACATATAAATATGCATAAAATATAACATAAATGATCATTGGAGGCGTCCAAACAATTGCACCAATCCCAGATGACAAGTTACTACTATAAGAAAAATACAAATTTTGACCAGAATGCAAAATAATACAAAAATGAACCCATAAAAAGGATGGGTGGGGTTTTTTTTTTTTCCATAGCACAGGGTAACAGAAATGGCGCAACAAAAACAAAGATTTTTTTTTTTCGATTAAAAAAATCCGTAACCATGCTAACTATCTGACGGTTTAAGATTTAATAGACTTCTCATAGCGGCACAAATTGAATGAATTATCTGTGATAATATTTTGTTTTTGTCGTTTTTGGTCTATAAACATATCTATGATAATATTGTTTTTGTCTTTTTTTGTCTATAAAGTCCCTTGAAA